TCATATCAGTCTAACAATGTGTGGTACCACATAGTTACAATAAGTAACAATTTTTGAAAAGTTTTGTGTGCACTACCCTTGGTAACTTATAGGAGCTTCTACTTAAGTGATCTTGGCTCTAAGACAGTGTTCCATTATTTCGACCTTCTAAGCTCCGACGAAGGTGATCGCCGAAATGTTGGTTGTGAATAAAGAGCGGTTACCATCTTGTCTACTTAGAATCATCTTTTGTGATCATCTCACACTGACGCGCCAGCCTTCACACGTTCAATTGAGAACAGCGTTTCCCTTCCATATTAGTGTGGAGGAGGGGCAGGGGGACTGATCTCTCTATGCATCTCAATGTGAGAGCTTCTTCCATTTTAAACTTCGTAAAAGTCTTGCGAAGAGGCGTAAAACAACGTTAGCTAACCCATATATGATTACTTCACATCACATGTAGTCGTATTCGTGCCAATCAGAGAAGGGAAAGTAAAAGCTTGAACACGGCAAAGGTCAAAGGAATTTGGCGAGCACAGTGAAAGCTCCCTCCACAAGGATGTTAGTTGATACTCACAATGAGTTGTTTCAAAGTACACTTGTCCTCCGGCAACACAGCTCGCCTACCATCTCGCATGAACTGCAGAGCATGTGCGAAAAGATCCCCGTCACGATTGATAAAAAGAGCTCCTTCTCGGTCAATCTATATGTTATATGCATTTTGAGTTTCCTCCATAAACTAATCGTAATAAACTTACAGCGCAATTTTTTAGAAAGAGCAAAACTCTGCCCGAATTTCTGTCAATCTTCATTAGTTCGTTGAAGTACGAGCTCTTTGATCGTGCTAGCGTTTCAAAGTTGGTGGTGTATCTGTGAAAAGAGAGAATTGAAATGTGCAAAGTGCCAAAAATGTCACCTACTTCTTCCCTCCAACGTTCAAGTAGACGAGATCTATCCCGCACATGGCGTTAGCTTCTTCCATATTCTGAAGGGCAATATTTCTACTTTTCTTCGCGAGTAAGATGGTTTTTAGAAGATCGATCATAGCTTGACGAGTAAAGGACTGGATGATACCTTTGACAAAGGCAATGAATCATGAAAGTTCAGTCCTCGTATCAGTAAAGCCGGAATTATTTGACTTTCTTCTCATAACCTCTCCATCTGTCACTTTTCCAATGCTTCAAATATGTGGCTAGGCCGTATCAAAATTTTACATCCAGTCCACCTATATATTTCTAACTCCTCTGCGATCCTAATGTAGGAAAGATAGTCCCCTTGGATATTATTTCAAACGGCAATAATTTCAATTCTTAAATTTGCCAAGAGATTAGAAAGTTTATTCTCGTCAGAGCAAGGCGCAAGCAGACTTACTTTCGGAACATCTGGTGGTCCTCCATAACTGCCATAAGCTCCTGAAATACTCATCTCCGGCTCTTTCTATCAGCTTCAATCCTTCTAAAGTCTGTGCGTTGACTGGTGAAGACTTCTAAAAATAGAAAATACAAACGATAGTGAAATCATTTTTTATTGAGAGATGAGCGGCACAGACTGGATTAAATTTCGAAAATAACCACAAAATGAGACATTCGTTTTTTCCGTATTCACTTATCTGGCGTCAATAGGCCGACAAAAATTTTTGGGCTTTCATCTCTTGATTTGAGAAAATGCAGTCGATGCTTTTGGAACATCGGCATCACAGCTGTTTACTTGGTCAGAATCGAATAGCATCAACAAAATGAGTAGCTTTTTTGTCTTTGTAGCAGCTCATATAGAAAGCGTCGTACATGGAAACAATAGCTTGTATCTTTTGGGAGTTTTTAGGTAATTGAAATAATCACAGATTAAGCAAATTTAGTGACAAATGGAAACCGTCAATCTCACGCATGGAGTTATGAAGATATACCTAATTTATTTTCGCTTACAATAACATGCAGGCTGCCTTACGAGTACACAGCGAGGTCTTGTAAGATATCAACGAATGTGACATCTTACTGTTAGACGATAGTATCATGTCGTTTAATAACATGATTACATACATTTCTCCATAAAATGGAAGTTACTGAACTCGTTCGCATTTT